GAGTTAGACAAGTGCCAGGCAGGCCCACCACAACCTAAGTATTTGTACGAGCTGGGATGGATCCACAGTGTGGACGATGACAGTCTGAAGTCACTCCCGAGAGTGGTCGGCCCTCGGCTGGAACAAATCTATGGATGCATTACAAGCGCCATCCTCTACATCCACAACAAGAAAGTTCGACACAAGGACATCAAACCTAGTAACATTCTAGTCGACCGCAACTCCTTCTACCTCACTGACTTCAATGTGTCCGAGGATTTTGAGGACAGGGACTCGACAGTGACCGCAAGGACCCGGTTTGATGGGACCGAGATCTATGCAGCGCCCGAAGAATTGTGCGGGGAGGAGCGGAGTCGCAAGTCTGACATCTACTCTCTGGGTCTGGTCTTCTTGGAAGTCTTCACATTTCTGATGGGCCGTTCGCGGAAAGACATGGAAGACACCATCGGTACCACAAGCGACCTGGGGAAGTGGAAAATGAAGCTGGGGAACGACAGATTTCATCGGACCTACACCTGTTCCCGATTAGCTTGGGCGACAATGGTGGTCCCACCAGCCGCAGCCGGCAAGATATTCGGCATCCGAGACTTGATCCTAGGTATGTTAGCGATGGACCCGGCGCATCGCCCGAGCGCCTACGAAGTCGCCTCCCAACTGGCGACGATGGATCCCGAGGGTCGACTGCATGGGGAGTGCTGTCGCCGGGACAAAGACGGTGTAGGCTTCAAAGCCCTTCTGGAGAGGTATGACCGACTGAAAGAAGAGTATGAGAAACTCTCCTCCACGTATGAGAGCGAGAAGGCCGCGAACGCGGCCCTCACTTACAAGTATGATAGCGTCAGTAAGTTCTCCATCCATGAGGATTCTTTGGGATCAGATGTGGCGAATCGAGTAGTAATCATCGTGAAGAAAGAGACCTGGAAGAGTGCCAGAGTCAGAATAGGACCATCGCCGCCGAGCGGGAGGAGTTGAAGGAAAAATTGAAGATAGGGCAGACAGGTACACTGCAGCCCTCAACCAACCAATGGCACTTGCCTGACATTGCCACACGCCTCTCCATGCCTCGAAGCAAGTCAAGCCTAAGCATGGGAACTCCTCCACCAGAGGCTCCTCATTATTCTCAAGGAAAAATAGAGCCCATTTACCTGAACCGAAACCGCGAGCGATTGGACATAGAGGCTATTAAAGCTAACCAGAAATGGGACGACTCTGACAGAGAATGTTATCACTCTGTCAAGGGTCTGAACCTGTGTCGATTTTTCTTTCTCGAGCCCCGTGGCTGCCGCAATTCGAATTGTGAATTTAAACACCAGAAGGATTACTCGCCGTCGGATAAGGAGCTATTTATGCTTCGGATGTTGACTCGTAATAAGCCATGCGAAAACGGCACTCAGTGCACTAATAAAGATTGTTTGTTTGGTCACCATTGCCTTGAGAAGGAATATCCTTGCCGCTTCTCACGCAATGGCAAGTGCGGATTTCCGGAGTTTATGCACATAAGGGATTTTGACACGGACAGTACAATGGTCGTCTGAGAGAGGTGGTGTGGGTCCTAAGGGGATGGACAGAGAGGATGATGGTTCTTCTCCTGCAGTGGTCTCTTGGTATTGCTTTTCATATTCTTCTTATATTTAGTCACACTATGATTGTATCACTGGTAGAATGCGATTCTCTTATTGATAGCAACCTACACTCCTTCGTACACGATGCCACGGGTTTAGACCGAGACTTGAATATTGTGGAGCTTCTCGAGGACCATCATTTCAAAGTTGGTCATCAGACAAAGAGCTCCCTCCGTACTAGTCTCTTCCACACCGTCAGCGCCCAGGCTGTTCCACCCTTGAAGGCAAGTCCGGACGACGTCTTCGTACGCTCGACCTACGGCGAAGCCGACATCTTGGAGCCAACGAGGGTCTCGAAAAAGGGCATCATGGACTTCCCAAGGCCGTACCGCGCTGCCCCGGAGGATTTCTCGCAACGGTTTCCAATGTGCAATCTCGATCAGGATTATGCCGAGAGAATACACATCAAATGTGGCGCGGAATGGTTTTCTACCTTCATCATCGAATCCGGTCAGCGTGTCTGGGTGCTGATAGTACTCCAGCCCTTCCTTCGCCCCTGCCACTTGGCTCATCTGGTCCTGGCCCGATGGACGAGCATCATCAAATCCCGACACATAGGGCGTGCTGTATTCCACGCCTTCGTTCGGTTCCTGGAAGAATAGAATATTGTCCGAGCGAAGCGCCTTATGCAACCACCCCACGGTGTGAAGATAATACAACGTTTGAGCCACTGCACGGGCCAGTTCGATTCGGTCGGCTAGGTCTGGACGTTGGGGTTCTCTGAATAGGCTGAAAAGCGTCCGGAGCCGAGCGTCCGTTGTGACGCCTTTGGGATACTTGTACAGCAAGCAGAACCGATCAGAACGTGGGTGGTCATCCACATATCCAATACACTGAGGGACCTGGATCGCGTGAGAATCTTCCTCCGCCAGAAGACCCACCAGCTCTTGGATGATGAACCTCTCGATCTGCTCCTTCGTGGGTCCTTGACTGGTGTTCCCGGTTGGATAATTCTTCCATTCCACCCAAAAGCCTTTCCGATCGTCATAACGGGCCATCCAGCGCTCGTCCTGCTCGATCAGATCAAGTACCTCAATGGCACCCTTTGACAGTTGTGATTTGGGATGAAGCGACAGTTTGGCCTGGCGCTCCTTCATGGCAGCCTTGAAGTGCGCCAAGCGAGTCAAGGTGACCCCCTTCTCTGCACTGGCGAGGGCGTGGAACAACTGTCCCAGCTTGTCCACGCTATTATGGACCAGGACGAGCTCCGCATACACTAAGTTCACTTTGCGAAGGATTTCCCGCTGCGTCTTTTCGCTGGTGAGACTGATCAGGCCATCAATGGTGGTGGTTAGGCGGCGGAGGCAGGATGTCAGACGATCCCCTCTGAGGGTGGCCCACGTTATTTTGCTGCTAAGTTCCTTCTGCTTGCGCTCCATTTCTCTCAACCAAGAGTTCAATGCCCTCTCGTTCGGTTTTTGCGCGGCGGTGAGACGGTCCACCTCTTCCGCCTTGGTTATTAGGGGCTTGAGAAGTTGCTGAATTTCAGACCGGACACTTTCCAGAAGGTCCTGGGCTTCCCACCGGTCTTGTTGGCTGATGGAGATACGCCACTCGTCACCAGCTGCCGGGACTTGCAGCAGACCGACTCCTTCACCCCAACTCATCAACCGCCCTTCTTGCAGTCGAAACTCCAACAGGACTTGTTCGAAATCTTTGGGTGCATCTTGGATCGAACGAATAAGTTTAATTGCTACAGTTCAGCCGCTATTAGTCCGATTCGCTGGTGATCGCTGCTTTCATTTGATATGGGAGTGACTGAGAGCGGGCTGTGTTCTGGAGGCTGAACGACTATACCTTTGATTGCTCCAGCGAAAACCTGTCCAAAGAGCCCTACGGCTCCAATTGCGAGTCCTGCTGTCTCCATTTTACATGAAATCCTTCAGTGGAAATTTGGATGGAACAGAGGGATTTTCTGGATATATTACCGGGGGGATCTAACATGTACGTACGATGTTCATTGATTCTAACAAAAGAACTTGGCGCGGGGGGAACGATTTCAGCCTTGCCTTCAGTCCACCAAGCCTCCGCACGTTCCTCTTTGTCCTGCAGGCCTCAACCGCCGTGACTGCTGGCGAGGATCTGCGCTGAGACCCTAGAATGCTTCTGATTGGGCACAACTAACCTCTAGCCTCATCTTAGATCCCCTTGAATGAGCTGGATACCGAGGACCCAGACTAGTCAGTAGGTGACTTAACTTGCTATGTTGTGACTCTTCCACTGCGATCATCATTCTTGGACTAGCGGCTCAGGGCGAATACAAACCTGTAGGCCTCTCGAGACATTGGCATTCGCATTCATGAATCACAACACTCTACAAATATACGTATTTGCAAGACACCATACACCCTCAAACTGGGGCTAAGACAGCGGTGGTTGCCTCAGGCAATAATTACCCCGCCGCGACCAGCGCGACTAGACTTGATATCAGGTTGGGGCCCTGGAATTTGTCCTGTAGTCCTTGAAATGTCCGGTACGCTTCCCTGTAATGTCTATCTCTGACTATTGTTGAGCTGTTAGACGGGCTTTGGGTTGAGATGGGAATAGGATGGGTCCATCCACAAATAGATCTGAATTTGGCTGCTTTAGTTGTACGGCACAGGCGGGTGATCTTAGGGCTATGCAGTGCGCTACTTAGTAGGCTCTAGGTCCGCAAGATCTATCTCGGGGGTAATATTGCTCTTGTGGTAAATAGCCTTGTGTCATCTGACCTCTAGGTTAAGTGCCTTACAAGATATCGAGTCCAGCTTTTGATACAGAATATTGGGACCATTCTCTTAGAGCTTTCGATTCTGTAACCAGTACGTATATCACATCAGCTACTAAGGACACTAAGCTGGATATATTGGAGGACAGCTTATATTTGGCCGGGTGTTCAACCATTAGTACAGAAAATGGATGTTTAGTATCGTACGTCTCTGGTAGGTCATGATCCTGATTACGGTTCAGGGCTTCGTCGGTCATGAGTATTCCTTTTTGGGAGTCTCGTAGGTACCCTATGCTGACGGCTCCTATGAAAATTTGTTCGCAGTTGTTTAATCGACATCGGAAACAAGCAGCATTACCTTTAATGCATGTTCCATACGAACAGAATGGTCTTCGTCAACAACAAGTGGCAGATCGCGGAAGACCTTTCTCATATTTTTCGATGCTCAACGTGCGGAAACGAGTTCGTTCCCTTCAGTCTCGCTCTTTCTAGCGAAGTAATAAGAGTCCGTCAAGCCTTCATCAAAATTTCCAACATGTTGGTACTTCTCCGTTGCATTTAAATTTGCGAGTACAACACCGACGAAGTCGTTTTTTCTTCGGGGTAGCTAAATATCCAAGCGAGGTGCAGTAGGACTGATCAATGACGCGTAACTCATCACTTTTGTGCTACTTTGATACCTCGAATACATGAAGTAAAGCGGAAACAGGGACAGACAGTACACAGCAGGCTCTTAACGTTCAGAATCATCCTCTCTATGCTGGAGGAGAAAGCTTAAAGTGATTCGGATTAGTGGTGAAGTAGTCTTCGTTGGGATGGGCCAGGTTGTTGAGATCAACAAATGCGGCTGTCGCACTCGGATCCACCGGTTGTTGGAAGTTTGTATTCCCATTGCCTGAGCTGTCCGTGATCAATGTGGTGCTGGGAATATCATAGCAAGGCGACGGCATCGGAGCCTGAATGAGCCGGACCTTATAGGTAGCGCTAGGCGTTGCACCCTGTAAGACAACAGCTGCGACCAGTTTGCCGGATGCCGGTTGAACGAGGTTGGCAAAGCCAAATGATTCAGTCAATTCAGTAGGAGAAGCAAGTGAGCCATCGCAATTTCGGTTGGTGCGTGTCAAGGGAACCTTCTGCGCAGGTATCGCGGCGGCGGAGACGGTCGCCCCGGTCATAGCCAACATAACAGACAACACCAGTAGTTGCTTCATAGTGAAGTTTACGGTTTGTGATTCATTTGATGGTATTCGAGTTAGAAATAGGGTTTTGTCGGATAGGTGAAGTCAAGTCGCAGGGTAGCGGGAGTGTATTTATCTTAAACTCCACGGTTATGTTATACATTTCGACTGTAGCGACGACAGTCGCAACCACCATGAAAGGTCCAGTGAATTTATACTTTCGAGTAGATATCCTAAAGTGATTGCAGTACGTACACTGTCTAGAGGAGACAGGTCTAGAACTGGGAGCAACGTTTATTTGCCACCACAGCACCGATATAGGTCTACTTGGTTGATATACCCTCACAGGCTAGACGATTCTTCACAAATTTATTCGGGAGGACAGATCGAGTTGAAGTTTCATGAAAATAATCGCCACACCATTCGGGTTGAATTCCGTTGAGCATCTGATCATCTCGAAACACGGGAGCGAGAAACTTTCTTGATACAATACCATGGCCAAAAAGCGCGCGTACTAAGACCTTGTCAAGCAGCCTTGGGCCCTAGCTTGATATATAAGGATCAACGCCTCTTGTGACTGGACTGGTGTGTGGCTAGGTTAGGTTATGTTAATAGGGTCAGTTCTATCAAACTTGTAACCGGTGTTGCCTGAGGCAATCACTAAATGGTTCCCCCAACCCGGCTCTGAGTCGGGACTCGGGCGTGGGTCCTGGTCGATAGCAGTTGGTAGCTTGCTATAATTAGAGTAGAAAAGCTAATTGAATACCATATAGAGCAAGGAAGTAAAAAGAGGTTCAGGCTACTAATTTGAAAAAGGAAAAAAGAAAAAAGAAAAAAAAAAAGGTCGGAGAAGAGAAAGTGGGAAAAGGAATGAAAAGAAAGCGGTCGAAATGTATCGGAGAAGGATAAATTCCCAATTGAGAAGGCCTAGAAATGTTGATCCAGAACCTGCCACAGCTTTTTGAAGCCCTGTCACTTCGCGGTCACTCGATTGAAAGTTTCCCAAGTACTGCGATACTGAATAGCCAGGGGGTCGGTTAGCTGTCCCGGCCACTTGAAAGCTCGAAACTGAGATGCTATGCTGGCTGGAGCCGTAGTGTGGCGAGGACTGGCGTCGTTGTACAAAAGACAAAAGTCATCACAGCCCCCGGATTCGTACTAAAATGGTCGTAATTCGGCGACAGTGACTTTGGTCTGTTGACATGCCTTGGGGAACCCTGCCAGGCTCATGGAAACACTTTCCCAAGCGTGTCCCAAGCCTTCTCTTTGCTGCCATGGGCGATCCCTTTGTCCTGGTACCAAAAAGGAGGGCACGGGTAGCCCCATAGGCGATTTGGGATGTCATCTAGAGTAAAAAGGTAACATTTCGATTGATTCCCATGGCAATGCCAGGTAATGAATCAAATAATACCACACAGAAAGGCCTCTACATTCTCTGACTGAGAGAATTCCTGCCATTGGAAGAAGATTAAGATCTAAGAAAGATGTCATGCCTCCCACACTCGTCCAGTCCATTGCATCGTAAAATGAAATTCGTTGATGTGGGTGTAAGACTCGATCTAACAGAGACTTGAAACCACCAGAAATCGAGGAATAACAATAAATATTTGTGGTCGAATTGCTTCATATTGGTTATCGTAGTTGGAGAACATTATGTGGTCAAAAGTATTGCAACACCTGGACTTCGTCCTCCCAGGCTCCGTTTTTAAACCTCAAAATCCCAACAAAATTAAAAAGCTTTTGAGCTTAAGAAAGTTCCATAGATTCCGAAGCTCAGTATGTAGTATTTTATCCAGCTTTCATAAACTCAAGTTGCTGGTCTACTACATCTCGCACCATCTGGTCCCAAGAGCGCCATTGCATTCCCAGCTCTGCTTCTGCTTTACCACTGTCCGTTGAGAGAAACTCTTCCTCAATATCAACCGTGATCTTTGCTCCGAGGCCTGAATATTCCCGCTGAATTAGATTTGCTACCTCTTTCCAGTTCCCACACTTCCCGGAAAGCAGATACCTTGATCCGTCTGGGATGGCTGGATCCAGGGCTTTGATGTGTGCCTCGACAACATCATCGATATGCACACCGGGGACCTGGGAGTAGGAATGATGAGGGATGCCGGCCATGATCGCATACCAGAGAAGACCATTTGAGGATTCCTCAATCTCCTTGGCAGCTGTCTGCGTGGGGTTACGTCCATACACGAACACGGGATGGAGCGTTACCAAGGCATACTGCGGCTCTGCGGCTTTCCGGAATTCCCATGCGGTTCGATTGGCGAGCAGCTTGGATGCATGGTACAACCGCATAGGTATTCCTCGCGGGTCATCTGAGGCTGTGAAGTCTTCGGCCTCGTTGACGTTGAAGTCCCAGTCATTGTCCTCTAGGATGAGGTCAGACCAGAGACAATATAGGAGAGGAACCCCACGAAAACTCACCTTTGACGACGCCACCAGGCGGTATTCCGTCAAGTGGCATCAAAGCCGCAATGGATGAGGTGATCACGACCTTCTTGATGCTCGGCACGCGAGCAGCCTCCTTGAGCAAGGCGGCCGTTACTTTTACAGCTGGAGTGAAATAGTACTCCTTGTCTGTTCCACTAGGAAGAGGATGTGCAAGATGGATCACGTAGTCTGCTCCATCCAGATGTCCTTTAAACAGAGCTTCATCTGTCCAATCAGAAATAGTAATGTATTCCACCTGTTCGCTATATTCCGACAGCAGAGCCGGTAACCTATCCGAGTGCTTTCGAAGACAGATTCGCAATCGGTATCCCGCTTTAACTGCTGCGATAGCGGTGGCACTACCAACAAAACCTGTTGCGCCGGTAATGAAGATTAATCCACGCGCCATGCCGTGTGAATTTCGAGTCCAAAGAGCTTAGATGGTGTAGAATAGGCAGGGGCTTCATTTATCCTTTTGCATGGACTCGGTCCGAGAACTGCCACAGCCTTATCTCCGATCAAGTTCAACAGCCCCACGCAGGGAGACTCGGGGATGGCCGCTCTATAATCTTAAACCCCCCATTTAAACCCTTTCGGGAAACTGATCTGTAGACTGAAGCTGGCGGTATTACTCTGTATCCATCATGTGCAAAAGACGTGGGGCTAATATTCCATAGCCGGGGGCCCGGATCCCGCTCCCCTTTGCATCAGACCGCGGCCGTATTCGCCGTCTTCCAGGGATCATGTTGGCCCCTGTTGCTCCATTGCGCTCTTCTTGCCTAGGCCGGTAAGTTATCTGTTGATCATCTGATGACGAATGATTGGATGGCCTTTTACAGTCTCAATTCACTATTAGACATCTATATTCATAAAAATCGCATGACTCGCGTGAACCCATGGAAGCCTGATGGGCCAAAAGGAACTCAGAGAGAAGTAAAACAACACAGAGGAATCTCCCACGCACTTCACCATCCTTCCAATGGAGTGAACTTGGCTAAGACCCCATCCTTCGGTGCAATAGTCGCTCCCTCTCGCACCTCTAGTGGAGCATCCGGGTATCTTAATTCGAACGAAAAACTACCAACCACCGCAGCGAGGAGGCATGCCAATTCCGCCTTGGCGAACCCCTGTCCAATGCAACTGCGCGGGCCATGAAGGAAGCTCAGGAACGCGTAGTTGCTGGTTGCGCCACCAGTGTTGGCCTTACCAGGCCCCATCCATCGGTCTGGGTTGAACTGTTCCGCATCCGTGCCCCACAGTGCTGGCATATGATTCACAAGTTCCGGCGAAATAACGACTTGCGTACCCTTAGGGATAGGCTTCCCCATCAGCGTGGTATCCTTTAGTGCCACACGGACAGTGTTTGGTACAGACGGGTGGAAGCGAATGACTTCATTACAGACCGCATTGAGATATTGGAGGCTATCAATGATGGCAGCGTCGATTGGACCGGGGTTTTCCACATTGATGGGTGGCAGGTTGGCGCGGATTTCGCTGCGGAGACGGACCTGGACATCTGGATGCTTGCAAAGCGCATATATAGCCCATTGAAGAGCCCCGGCGGTCGTCTCGTGGCCAGCACCTAGGAAGGTCATGAGTTGGTCAACGAGGTTCTCATCGTCAAAGTTGCCACTTCGCATTGCAACGGAAATGATGTCGAGCTGTGCCTCTGCAGTTGGATCTTCCATCTTTACCTTCTGCTCGCAGATCATCCGCCGCGTGGCATCACGGATATTGCGGCAGCCCGTGTCAATGAGCTTATTCTGCTTGGTGGGTAACTTTGCAAGCCATTTCGTATTCCCCAAGAGCATTCCAAGTATAAAAAGGACCTTAGTTCCCAAACCTGGCGTGGCAAAGACCATTTCGTACGATTGGCTGAGACTACTTTCAGGGTTGCGCAAGGAGTCGAAATCTCGGCCCATGCCCGCTAAACCAATGATATCTAGCGAGGCTCGACTCGCCCAGGTTCTCACTCGAATTGTGTTATCTCCGGGGGCGTTTCTGGTCCGTAGATCCTTTCGAATCAACTTGGCCATCTCCTTGCCCTTGGACCAGAAGACAGGATAGAGATCCTTGACGTGGCGGTACGCAAAAGCTGGCTTGAGGTTCTTACGCTGAAACTACACGAATGATTGTAAGAATCAAAACAAAAGAATGAAATAAAGAATTGAAAGTGGATTGCTGTCTCTGACCTTATGCACCTCGCCTTCGGCAATCAGGATGCCATTGCCGAGCACACGCCTCAATGCTTGCTGTATTACCAAGGGCTTTGCGAAGTCGTAAGCCTTGCTCACCAAAATTTCGCTTAGGACCGCAGGGCTGGTGATCGTCAGTCTTTCCATGTTTCCCACAATGTAGTAACGAAGAATTCCATCGTTAGGAACAGTCTTCGCCCACTCCTTCATCAACGCATGGGGGGTATCGACAATAAGACTGCCCGTATTCCCCGTGAGCCAGTGTCGATTCTAGATGCTGTTAATTCGGAGTAAACGGTGGCAACCGTAGGTTCGATGGCTCACCGACGGGGTGGGAAAATGCTTCAATGGCGTGAAAAACTTAGGGTAGAAGAACAGCTGATAGAATAGCTTTGCTATGGTAATGACTGTAGCTAGGACGGCAATAGTCACAATTCTGGAGCCGTAGATGGCAGACTCTGGGCGGAAGTAGATGCTGGCTGCTATACCAAGGTAGAGGGCAGCAAAGCAGTGGTTCATACGCCCCATGCTGGCAGTTGGGCATTGAATTGATCCTGGGACAGAAGAATTGAGGTTGCCTTTTCCCAGGTGAAGGTCACCTTTACTTCAAATTATCTAGAGAGAGTAACGCGCTGACCGAGGGCTTGGGCCAACGCTTGAGCCTTGCCGCCGCCTGAAACTACAGAGCAGCACGATTGCCTTTCCTAGTCACACTTCTCCCGCAGCCAAGCCCTTGAACCCTCGCCACCGGGGCTCGGGAGCCGTCTCCGCGGTCTACGGCTAGAAGGCTAGTTGGCATCAGGATATGACAAACATGGGATGAAAGCTCTGAGGCCCACTTTAGGCAGATTGTCTGTGGGCACATATTCAATTGCACGTGACTACTCTCTTGTATTAGACTGTATTGGTGGTCGTTTAGCATCCCTTCGCTTCCAGCTGTCTTTGGCGCCTACGAGTCTTTTTGAAACGGCAAAGCATTTGCCTTTGTATAGACTTTTAGTTCTCTCGCCAAAGTCGCACCAGCCTGACATTGTATTAATCCTAGCACCCTAGTGGACATCCTTCCAAAAATGAACAGAGTCTCCCAAGGCTTCCATGGCCAGAGGATTGAAGCTTTCGTCCCCGGGAGCCATCTTGGCGTAGCTCCTCAATTGCGGCAAAAACTCCTCGGGGCCTCGAGCCAACTCGCCGCTTGTCGAAGTGATTGGGCTCATGGAGGCAAAGGAACTATCTGGATCTGGGAAAACCGCACCATGGAAGCGTGAATCAAAGGTTTCTGGAACCTCTGAATTCATGTAGGTATAACCGCTTGTTGGAGGCGAGAGTAGCTCCGACATCAGATACGCATTTGTCGAGCCTTGCGAGGTCGGCTTCTGCCGTTTATACTGAGTCTCCCTGGCTTTTATCACGTCAGTGACAATGAGGGACAGCTGGTATAGCCGTCGATTGTATGAGGCCTCTGCGCGTGAGTCGGTAATGGTCTGCAGCATCTCCACAAATTCTTGAAGCATGTTGATGTCACAATGAGACCCCTGACCGCAGAGAATGGAGGACAATACTTCATAAAGATATAGTGATGGAAGTGAGGCGAGAAAACTATATCGGAGTGAACTGGTCAGTTTGAATCACCGTCTAGACCGGGAAACCAGAACCTTATCATTCACTCACAACGAGAAAATAGCCTGACTCCCTTGATCCGGCGGGGAATGCCAGAGGCGTAACAACAGCTTCAAACACATCCTAGCGACCTCCAGGGCTCGTTGAAACATCGGATCGGGATGGTGCTTGTGGGGCCAAATGAGGAGCAGTTGGACAGACAGATATCTGATTGCCAACTGGAGATGCGGGGCGGAGCCCTCAGAAGACTTTTGGATCTTCTCCATGTCAACTCCCGACTCGGTCAGGCACTCTTGAAGTCTTGAGGAAATCGTTGCAGCGAATTCTCGAACCTGATCCTCACTTCTCCCCTGCACGTGGACAGCATATATCTCCAAGTAGACGGTCTCTTCGATCCTAGCCATATCGGCCTTTGCAACCAGGCCGGATGGGATACCGTTTTCAGAAGGCAAGAGGCATGGGTCGAAATGGACCTCGGAGACTGGTATACTGGGAGACGATCCAGCCGTCCAGCAAACGGCCTTGTCAAGAACGTATAAACAGTATGAAATATTTTGTCTTTCCTGGATGTTTTCATGGCTGAGTTGGTCGTGAAAGGAGTGCCATTGATGAAGGCCGATGGACTTCGCACATCTGGTGGCTAGAGCAAATAACGTCTCAGAGAGGCTTATAGAGAGGTACATTTGCGCGACTATGTGCTTTTTGTTGTCAGCGATTCTGTGCCCGTGGGATACTAGTCAGAGCCATACCAGAGATAAGAGTGCCTGCACATTGATGAGGTGGGGCGAGACCAGTTGATCAAGATTGTTGACCGCGTGCTTTGCGTTTGTCAAAAAGCCCGCAATGAGGTCAAAGTCGATCGACGACGACTTGCGCGTCGGCTTGGGTTGCATTGACTCTCGCTGGTGGGAGCTGAGGGAGTCTGCCGACATGGCCATGAGGATGAGGTTGTTGCAGCAGATGATCGAGGCCAGGTCCCTTTGGGCCGGTGTTGATTGCCGCAAGGTAGTCGCCATTTGCATAAACCCTTTCTTTGTCCAGATGGGAAAATGTTCATTGACTGTTGTAAAGTATGGCTCAATCATTGCATCTAAAATGGCAAAGGGAGGCGTCGTAGGGGGTGACTTTTCCCCGAGGGGCATCTCTTCTCCCTGGCCGACTAGAAGATCAATCTTGCGTTGTGCCTGCAACACGCATTCCTTCACGGTGCCTCTGTCCATATCAGGGCTCTCCAAGAGCTCATCCTTGATGTTGAGCATTAGCGACTCCAAAGCCGTCGGGCCAAAGCATCTTTCGTCACTCTTTTGGTCCAAGAGAAATCGACCCCGCGGCCTCGTGAAGATGGGCGATTTCAACGGATCAGGGAACCGCTGAGGAGTCAATTGCGGTGTCGGTCTCGATGCACTGGCCAGGCGTCTTGAGGAAGATGAGACCGTCGATGACTCCTCGAAAAGCCGCTTCAAGGACCTTTGAGTCTCCGCCAATGATGTCTTCAAAGGCTGTCATTTAGAAATGATCTCTAGATGTCTATGGAACTCTGTCCAGCTTACCTCAAGCTGTTGAAGGCGACTCCCCATGCCCAGAATCGTTTGGCTTCTATGAATTATGAGCTCGGATCAACCACAGGGAGCATAGTGACGCGGTGCCTACAGAAGGGTTGTTTGGTTGCACTTTTTGCCTTGGCCCGACCACTCACACTGTAGGCCCAGGCGGCCACAATTGCTGCAAGAGGGCTTTTCTCGACTGCAGCGTATCTTCCTGGCCCGGCATTGGTCACACACTGAATCCATAAGGATTGGTTACCTATGCTGTTGGGGAGGCGGACCGGAGGCTCGCTTACCTGTGTACTCGTCTCTGCTCACGTCCTTCGCCATTTCCGTCGTTTCCCCCAAAAGCCGTCGTAGGTTGCGTCAATCTTTGACTATCCTCAGGGTAGAACAGGATGGAGTCTAACGTACCGCTTGACATCTTACAAGGCTCGCGGGTAAGAGCATTTATAGGGGAACAAAGCTCCTTTCCCCATCCGCAGTGGGGAGTACCTCCGTTCCTTTGCTTTCTGCATGCTGACATGCATTGCTAGTGGACATCACCTACGACTGAGCCTGTCTTTAGGACCTCCAAGGCTAAGCATGCACCAGTACAAACCAAGGCCCACCAATGGAGAGCAATTTAATGCCCCCGCCCCAGATTTGAAAGCATCAGCTCGATAAGACGTTAAGAGGGGTTGAGCTCTCTGTCATTCTCGATCTGCTGTCCATGTTGCATGCATAATATCCGGGTTTGAGACGAATTTTGCTGATATGTTACATTCCAGTACTCTATAGTTCATGTAAAATCTTTGTTCTACCTATTTATTGATTTTATACAGGCCGAGCAGAACAGTCAGGGAAGTTCAAAAAA